GATATATATTCTTTAAAAAAAAATAATTATTGTATATTAAAAATCGCGATGAAACAATAAAGATTTCTGTTTGAGAAATGTATATAAATTGCACAAAATATTTGCCTATTCTAATAAATTACCATCGTCTCGATACGTTTACAAATCGTTAATCGCTAAAATTAATTAATTGCGCGAATGAATAATTATCAACTGTAATAATCGCGGGGAATAATTGCATTTAACATCTTTCGGTACTTCTTGCAGTCGCGTTTCTCTCGAGAAATAATGTGGAAAGACAATAAGCGAGTATAACAATATAGTATATTATATAAGTATATATAATATTATACATAAAGTGTATATTATAATAAGCATTGCAAAATATTCGGTGTAGAATAGGCCTTACATCAACGTAGGAATGTAGGAAAGTAGGGAGTAAAAAATGGGAGGAGACGAATGGATAATCAAAAAGTATTGTGTTTAATTAATAAATATAATCGTTATATGAACTACGTAATAATTATTTATCAACCATGTATTATTAATTTATATGTCGTTTTAATTTGTCAAAACATTTACTTACTATGTTTCGTGTAATTTATTCGAGCGAGATCGATCGCAATGATCGTGCAAACAGCCGACAAACAATTTAACATATTTATCAAATATTGCATAATCCAGGGATGTTTATCTTTAACTATAATAATGAATTGTGCATCGCGCGCGATGCATCAAGAATGTATAAAGTAATCGCAATCGTCGTATTCTGCTAATTAGTGCACGTGCGATCATAATTAACAGTATTTTCGCGAGTGAATATTGTGAGTGCCATAAAAAGAGCAGTGAAGAACAAGAGAATAAATAAGAGAGGAAGAACAGACTCGAGAAGATATCGGACGATGGCAGAGACAATAATCAGATGAGAAATTTATAATATTTAATTTATTATTTGTTGCAAAAGAGAGAGAGTAATTGCTCTATCTTTGCGACATTGATAATTTTATATTATTATGCCATATAATGCATCTAAAAATTTTTCTTGAAATTGATCTTATGATAAATGAAACATTTTAATAATATATTCATAATTAATATTTTTATATATAAAAAACACATAAAATATTTCACAATGTTTTAAGAGATTTATAATTACTTAGATAATTTCTATATATCAATTAAATTTTAAAAAATTGTGTTTAATGTTAGATAGTTTTTTTTTTATTAAATATCTGTTTAAAAAATGATATATTTAAATGAATGCAATAATAAATATGTATATTTTAATATTAATTATTTTAGACACTGCTTTATATATATGATTTGGATATATTTATATTTTACAGATCAACGCTGTGTACCACAATTCCGCGCTTGCATATCGTACTGGTGAGTTTTAAAATATTTTTTTATTTTATATATATACATACGTATTTATCGAGATATTTATTATATTGAAAGAGAGAGAAAGAATCAATTTATTAAAATTATGTCAAGAGTATATATTTCAATGTATGTATGAGGATAAATATCAAAAACGAATGAAAATTTCTATTCTGCTTTCTATATAAAATTATTAAAAATGAATATATCTTACTAAATATTTTAATTATCATAAATTTAAATCTAAGAATATTTATTTTGCTGTTACGAAACGCGCAGATAATTGTCAGAAATTTGTTGACCATATATATGTATATCAGCGAAAATATTAGAGTTAATAGAGCTTTTTTTAATCCTAACTACTATTAAATTAATTGTTTCTTAGCATAAAATATCCTAAAGAACGCATTAATTAATTAAATTCTTATACATTTTGTTTTTAGTACATAAAGTTTTGATTTTTGGTCGAAATTTTATGATTTCGCTGTTTTTGAGCTCTTTAATATTATATTTGCCTGAAATTTGTTTGCTACTAATTTTCATTGTTTTACAAATATATATGTAGCAATTTTTATAGGCCTATTTAATACTACCAAATTTTAAATTTTTTTATTTCGAAAATATATACTCCAAATATCGGAAAGATTCAAAATATCATTGACATAAAAAAAAAAAAATTCGAAGCAAATAGCATATTATTATAATATATACGTAAATATTTCGCTTTTTTACATTGTATTTTCCCTCTTGTTCAGTCAGCAAGTATTATTTATACACAGTAATATGTGCCTCAAGTTGTATAAAAAGAAAAAGGGACGCTGATATTAAATTACAAAAAAGTTTAGTCATTATGTATATTTAATTCTCAGCTATCGTTATGGATATTAAAAGAAAAAAAAAATTGTAAAATAATTAATCAACTCTCTCACCGGTCGATGCACCGCCGTTGCTGCCTCTCTCGTAATCCACGTAATCCATATAATCCATTTAATCCACGTCATTCAATTGCGTAGATATCCACTCACTTTGAAGCATAAATCGCGCTTTAATACGATAATCACTTTCATACTCGTCCCATTGACTACGATTCATTATTACACTCATCGAAAGAGATTCACTTTACCGCAACGAATATATCATGCGAAACACAGATTTCTTGTAGCTTCGTACACACGCGCGCACACTCGCGAACACACTCATATATGAAACGCGACACGACTTCGATTCTCGGAAATTCGGCGTGCGCGGCGAAGGAACGCGTTCCACTGTTTTCGACAGTGACTGATATATGTATATACGCGTTGATCAAAAAAGCGCGGGTAATTACGATCGGGTTATCACGATTCGAAGACTTATTCCACTCGCGACGAATATAAATCAACGCGAAACGCAATGATCACTTTGCACGGTACATCCGTTATATCGGGTGTCCGGAATCAATCGCATCATCCGTACAAGTAGAACAGGTAAAACCGAGGAGAAAAGTCCTTTACCATTTTGTGAATTTCTGTGAATAATTATAATTATTGCGAAAAGTCCTTTACCATTTTGTGATTTTCTGTGAATAATTATAATTATTGCAAAAATCACAAAATGGTAAAGGACTTCTCCTCGGTTTTACCTACTCTACACGGAAAAAAAAAAGATTAGCAACAGGAGCTAATATATAGCTGTGATAGCTAAAATGTGTCCTTAAAATAAGGACAGCTAATACTGTTGCTGCCCAAGCTAAATTTATTAGCTTTTTTTTTTTTTTTTTTATCTATTTTAACGCGTCGATGTTGTCAATGACAGCGTCGCAGAAACAATTAAACAATTGTGAATCGAAGATTCGCGCGCATACCCATAAACTTAGCTGCGCGTGCTAAATGTTTTAGCTATAAAGCATATTCCGCAATGTATGCGCATAGTAAGAAATTTAGGTACGGTTGCTATCTTTATAGCTGCTCGTGTTAATATACGCTTTCAATTTCAGCTAATAAATTTTCATGCCACAGTGAATTTTTTTATCTATAATAACTAGTACTTAGCTATGACACTAAGGCGATAGCTCTTACAGCTAAGTTTGATTCAGCTACTGAAATTTAGCTGCTATTGTTAAGTCATTTTTTTGCGTGTACCTGCACACGACGGGTGATGCGATTGACTCCGGACACCCTGTATACGACGCGACAAACTTCGATTCTCGAAACGCGGCGAAAGCTCGTTTACTTCGAACATTTACTTCTATATATATATATACGCTAATTGGAAAAGTGCTTAATTACGATCGCGGAGAGCGATCCGATCACTTTAAACCGATATTTGAGTACTCCGTCTTTTCGGTATCCATTATGCCGCCCTATTAGTGCTGCCCTTTGTTCTTGACTTTACTCGCGTATGGAAAAGTATGGCTAATTACGATCACGCGGGTCGATTATCGCGATACGGCACTCGCCTGTCGCTTTACGCGTCGTTCCCGAACATTTATCGTACTCGCGACGCACTCGAAACGTAATAAATCAACGCGAGCCGCGAAGGAACGTCCGTTGCCCCGTCCGACATTTGCAACGTTCGTTACTGCGGTTTACCGAAAATTTGAAATTTATGGCAACTTCATGACGATAAATTTCTCGGGGTGGACACGGTTGGTACCTCTCGCGACGCGAGACGAGCGAAGTGAGGTAATGTCGCGATTCGCGCGAAGATGTCACCGCACGTGCAGAGATACTTGAAATGCTTCGAAAAAATTAGACATAGATATAAAATATATATATAAAGATAGACCTAATACAGTTTTTTATATTTTTTATATTTTTTATATTTATATTAGATCGAGATCGCGTGAAGAAAGAGAGGCAAGGCCTCTGTGAGTATATCCTTATTTTTCATTCACACGCATGAAAGTAATTCGTAATTTTCTCTCTCTCTCTCTCTCTCTCTTTCAAATACCTATAGACAATACCGAGTTTATCTTTCTATGTCTATGGAATAAGATCATAGATTATGGGGTTGGTAAGAATTATTATTATGCATTATGCCCCTAATATATCTCTCTCGCTCTGTTATATCTCTATTTAATAAACATTTAAAAAACTTTAAAATGTAGGAGTATCTCTGTCTAATCCAATGATAATTTCTAGCATCGTAAATTGGTTTGAAATAAATATTGCTATATATTTGTCTGTAATTTATACATATATATACATATACATATATACATATACATATATATACATTATCATAAGAAATTATTTTCAATTCTTTGATAAAAATTGTCTAATGGGATATTGACTCAAGGAATATTTAATTTTACTTTATGATTTTTTTATTTATTCAAAGCATGCTCCTGTCGCCGACAAGAAAAGACCGGGTAGTCCTTTATCGGTTCTCGAGGTCGAGGATCCGAAGCAATGTGTTCTCGCGCATTTCATGACGCCATTGGAGCCTCTAGATCCTCTAACTGAATCTCCAGTATCTCGTCCATTGGTTCTACAACGCGATACCGCTGCAGAACTAGTCGCCGAGTTAGCACCCTCTGCATCGCAAAGTATTTTGCTTACGAATATGGAGAAGAACGGTACGTAAAATTTTTAGAATATTCACATGGTTCTCAGAGAATGTGTGACAATATGTAAGGGGTCTTTTTTAAGATCGTTTAGTTGATATTTTTCATTCGTTTCAGCGGATTTCCCGTTCATTACATATTATTTAATAAACAAGCAGAACACGGATCCCATGGACTTTTACAATGAAGTGCAATGCGCAGCCTTACGTAAGTTCGATCCCCGAGATATCAGATATGCAGCCAATCACACATTGGATTTGTTCAATGAGGTAGCAACTATCGCAAGACCGCCGCTCGAACCACCCGGTGGAAGACCACCCATTCCGTCCACCGGCTATATAGTATCGATTTTCAAAGTTTTCGAAGGTGATGATGGTCTTAAATTTGAACAAAATTGGCTCTATTGGACAGGTAAATGAATACAGCTCTTGCTATTTTTTTATATTAGCAATGCCTGTGTTATATATCTTACGAGAGCTTTTAAAAATTAAAAATTTATATAAAATGATAAAAAATTTTTCTAATTTATCGAAATGCTATTATATATGTCCATATGTATATCGTAAAATGATTACATTTTGTATACAGAATTTTGTATAGAAACAATTACTTTTTATTTTATTCTGGCACTATATTGAAGTATTATATATTATCTTGTATTATACCATAGGTGCGCGAATGATGTATCGATACTTGCCAAAATCGGTGGGTCTCAGACGCATCACTTTGCACAAATCGATATCGCAAGGCGACAAGATGTATCTGTTAATCTGCGAATGCTCGCAGCTGCAAGACAATTTATCCGCTGCGGCAATACTTTTACCGGCACTTCGCGCACGCCTGTGCGGATACATCGGGCTTTATAGACCCTCCGTGTGTTTCTGATTTCTTACCCAGCTATTAGAATCTGCGAGAAGTATTGTTTCGAATTGCATTACATGCATCTCTCCACAGGAAAGTCTAAGCGAAACGGTATTGTATCGCATTTCAACACTTTACTCTACACTTTATTTGTGACTGAAAATAATATGATATCCCAATATATTTTCAATATTAATAGTTGTCATTTTGATTGCAGAAACGCAATCCAAGTCATAGCGGCTGCCAAGAGAAGGCGCGATACTGATTTTTGCAGAAATCGTAAAATATATCGTCGCAAATGCCGCCAACAAACGAGACACTGTGATTTCTACTATCGTACTATCTATTATAAGAAGCGCAACTTCGTATACGCTTTAGATAAGTCTTGTCGAATATCGACGAAACAGCATGCTCGACTAGATACGCCACTGAACCTGTTTGTATTTTTCGACTTTACTATTTCGTTCATCATACAAACGAGCGTTACCCGAATACCGTTACCAAACGAAACGGAAATACAGAACAAATAGCAATAAAATTGGTACATAGGCTGCAGAAAGTATCGCAATATACTTAATGCAAAACAGATGTCCAAGAAATAATCTATTATATACAGATGAAAAATCCTCGACATTTAATTTTTTGGGAAATGGGAACATTCTATGCGCCGACATAGAGCAGATAACGACATATTACCGATTAAAGACTTTTGTTTACCCTATGCCCTATGGTATCACGCGACACACACATAACCATAACAATATATGCAACGTACTTTTCTTACATTATTGGTAACTATTGAATAATCGCTAACTACATATCATACTCGATAAACTGTGATATTTGAGCGAGTGGCGTATATATCACAATGAAAGATAAATCTTCTTGAAATCTACTCTTGAAAATGCTACTATTGAAATCAATTTAGGGGATTTAGATACAAGGTAGTGGAACTTTGAAGGCCGACGCAATAGAATGTAATTTAAAAAGCCTTTTATCGATTATCTTCATATTTGATATTATATATTCATATATGCGGATTATTGACGCTCGTGAAATTTGACCGGCATATGCAAATGTGGATAAATTATAATTCCAGAAAATAAAACTTTAACAAACTTTTATGTATAGTTCTTTTATTGTATAAATTATGATTTATACGTAAGTTTCATCTTTGAATAAACGAAATTTGTTAAGTACATGCAGATTCGTTTTTTGGAAAAAAAATGTTTTAATCTTTCTTATTCATTTAGTTATTCTTATAAAATTATAACTAACTATATATCTAAAAAAATTATTTACATTTAATATAATTTTATTTTTGTTATTTAAATCCATATTTTATCCACATGCATTGTAAACTTTTCTCTATTGGGAAGATACGAGAATAGAGTAATGGTATGTGCGGGAAAAGCTTATACAAATCCCATTTTTTAGGTGCCTATAGCCATTTTAAAGAGTGGAAGAGTAGCGTGAGTTGGCATTGTAGTACAAAAAAAATAATACAGCCAATATACGCTTGTGTTGCATACAGACAATAGCTAGGATGATTACGCAGGCGTGATCATCACCCAGTAGATTTGTAATTATCCGACGCAATGGCGTACTTATCATACGCTGGATTCGTACTCGCTGAATACAAAGTGGAACAAGATATTCTTAACTATAAGAAAAAAAAATGGAAAGTAAGGAAAATTCGCGATTTTACTGTGATCATACACGTATCATGTTCGATACACGCATTCGTGTTTACGATTCACTGCGACAAAAAAGCGCAATTGTGAGATATGGTACATAAAGCAGTAATCACACAATGGTGTCCAGTCTATAATATGTACATCATTAAAACAAGAAGCATTGATTATAATTGAACTGCGCTAATAAAATATTTGGCTACTACATTCGCATTTTTTCATTGCATATATTTGTTATATTATACCGAAATATGTTTCTAAAAAAAGGAAAATTGATAAAAAAAAACATAAAAAACATAAGAAAAAGAGAAGAAGTTCATCTTCAAGTAGTGTGAGTATCAAAAGGTTTATAATTGATAGTTAATATTTATATGAAAATTTTTGATGTAGGAATAATACAACATATTTTGTAGGAAACTGATGACAGTGATAAATTTGAATGGGTGGAGAAAAAAGATAAAGACCAAACCTCTTCGTATAACATTGAAAATTCTGTTAATAAGGAGATACAAGAAAATCCGCTTAAAAGAGATGAATGGATGAATGTGGAAAGTTTCCTTCCCTATTTATCGAAATCTGATATAAAAAAGCGAAAATTAAATACAAAAGAGGAAGACAAAACCAAAAATCTCCTGGATAAACCAGGGCAAAGCGACAGAGAGTTAAATCCATACTGGAAAGATGGAGGTGATGGATTACCTAAAATTAGCCCAGGAAGATTAGATAACTCACAAGTCTTGGATGCAAACTGGTTAAAAAAAAGTCTTCGGCGTGCTGAGGAACAAGCTCGTAGAGATGGTAAAACTCTAGAAGAAGTAGCTACAGAACGTTGGGGTGTAAGTTAATTAAAACATAATATAAAAATGCTCTCAATTAATTATTAATAATATAAATAATAAATCTTTCTTTATAGTCTCTAGAAACTATACAATCGATGATTATTAATGCAGAAAAAATGTCAAATGCTGAACAGAATAAATATTTCAAAAAACATTACAATGTTAATAGACATAACAAAGATTTACATAGAATTTCAAGTTCAAGATTAAGAAATCGTTCGAGATCTAGATCTAGAAGTAGAGAACGCACTGGAAAATATACACCTGACTATTTCTCACATCATATAAAGAAAAAACAAAGCTTTCAAAGACCCAACGATAGTGACAATTATTATCAACAAACTACACATAGTTCTACTAGTAGACTCAAAAATAGCGATAGAAAGCATGAATCTAGATTAATTGAATCCTCAAAATTGGAAGAAACCAAAACAAAGAATATTATTAACATAAATGAGATGGATAAAAACAAAAATATTGACATTTTAACAGAAGCAGAAATGAACAAATTAGGAGCAAAAATTATTAAAGCTGAAATAATGGGCGATAATGTATGCTATTACACTGTCTTTATTATTTATTGTTCTTTTTGAATTTATTTCAGTGTGTATTTTATATTTATCAGAATTATTTTATCTAGGAATTAGCAGCTCAGCTTAAAGTGCAATTAGAGCAGGCAAGAAAACTTTCTGTGGCAAATAATACTAATGTACAAGAGGAAACTGTGATTCTTACAAAAACTGATGCAAAAGGTGTGTTTTTCTTTTCAAATATAAGAATTTGTGGCTATTATCAGAAATAATATGAAACTTCATACTAGGTGTTGCAAGACCGATTCAACCCAGAAGTCAATCTAAGCAATTTGCAGAAAGTCATAGGAAGAAGAAATCTGCAGAGACACATGTCTCCGGCGAGAGAGTATGCTATTTTGCAGATGATAATAAATATTCCTTACAAGAAATGGTAAGTAATTAAACTGATTAATACTGATTATAGAGGATTCTAACATGATATAATATAAATTTTCATTGCAGTTTCAACGAGAGAAAGGAAGATCCACAAACGAAGATGAAGGGATATTTACTAAACTCGTTGCTAAGGTAACACACTGAATAAATTTAAACTTATGAATGTTGAAACTCTTAAAATAAAATTCCCATCATATCCTTTTTGCAGAATGCAGATCATGTAGATGATATGTTCGAACAACAAATTGCACGAACAAATTCTGAAGAGAAGCAAGACAGGCGAGATCGTTCGCATGCAATTAAGGAGCACATACATTTGTCTAATTCGATGGAAAATTGTTCGTGGTGCTTAGATTCGAAGAATATGTTAAAGCACATGATAGTTACAATGGATTCCATGATTTGCTTAAGTCTGCCTGCTTATACTTCCTTGACTACTAGTCAATGTATATTGACACCTATACAACACGTAGCTTGTCAGTTGCAATTAGATGAAGATGTATGGTATAGACTCAAGGTGAGTTTTTGTTATATAATTAATTTTATTATATATAACATTCGCGATTTTACTGTGATCATACACGTATCATGTTCGATACACGCATTCGTGTTTACGATTCACTGCGACAAAAAAGCGCAATTGTGAGATATGGTACATAAAGCAGTAATCACACAATGGTGTCCAGTCTATAATATGTACATCATTAAAACAAGAAGCATTGATTATAATTGAACTGCGCTAATAAAATATTTGGCTACTACATTCGCATTTTTTCATTGCATATATTTGTTATATTATACCGAAATATGTTTCAATTTTACACAATATTTCGCGTGCACATAGAGGAAGTTTTAATATTAAGAAAAGAAAGATTGGACATCGTATTTAACCCTTTCAGTAATAAATAAAATATGAAAGAGTTAAAATTTTATTTCTTTTATATAGTTTCATTTTATTTAATTATTATATAAAAACACTTTTCCTTTATTTTTCACTGTATTATCATCTTTATTAACTATATATATGTGTGGTTTATTATATAGTATCTTACAATGGAAAAAAAATCAGTTTTGTCATATATTTTCATAAGATTGAAAATTAATATCTGAATTAAAAATAATACTGAAATACTGAAAGAGTTAAAATAGGACTGCTTTTGTTCTTTAAGAAGAAATACATCTCTTGTTTGCCTACAAAAAAGATTTATGCTCTATATAGAAGAGTATGCCTCTTTAAGGTAGCTTTGGTACTTTATCATACAAAGCATTGTATTTTTCAATTAAATCTGGCAAAGGTTATTCTAGGAAAAAACAAGAAAGAGAGAAAGAATTTCTTTGAAAATTGTACCACAATATATAAACAAATATGATGAATTGTATGATATTGATGATACATTGCTACTCTGTACGATAGATTTATTAAATCATGTATACACAACGAATATAACAGATAATAATAAATCACTTCTAACATTATGGTTCATTTCCCCTTTCTCATTAATAAGTTACACCAGCATTTTCTTATCTGTTCATATTTATATAGATATTTTTCCCTAAATTATGCCAAAGAAAAACAATTATTTATTAATAGTTAAATTATATGTATGTAATTATATACATATAATAAATTATATATAAATATATACATAAATATACATATTACTAGATAATTAATATCCTTTGGGACCCCTAAACCGCCTTCTGCCATCAATCTATGAAAAGATAAAAAAAAAAGAGAAGAGAAGTGAACTACATAAATACATATAAATCTTATATAGACTTGTCTGAGAAAAATCGTATTAATTTCTTTCTCTAATATCTACAATTTAATATGCAAATTTATTTATACTTACTATAGAATGTTTACATTCAAAGAATGTATTTCGTAAGGCAAAGCATTCGTCGGGTACTGAGCCATCGTGTGTCCTAAGGCATTCTCTAGGAGTACGCTTGTACTGTAAAAAAAAATAAAATAACGTATTTACATTAATTTATATGCTTGTACATGCTTCTGAATTTATAAAAGGCTTGTTTGAAAATCGGAAATGGAAATATGTAGAAGTTGGATATCAATGAATATCTTATTGTTAATTGATATTTATTATGTCAATCAAAAAATAAAAAATTACCAGAGGATAAGACATTTTATTTTTCATATAAAACTTATCTTATTTTTTATAAAATTTGCCTTATTTATGCGCGCATTTAATGAATATAAAAATGTTGCTAGGTTATAACGGTGACTAATTCATGTTTACTTACAATTTTGCAACAGTTACTTTGGAGCAAACACATTTTTAAATCAGCGCGAATGTTTGCACAGCGAGACTTGTCTTTCAACGTTTCGCCTTCTTCTTCAAATTGCATCATTTTGAATAGCAAAACACTCTTCAACTACTTGACTCAATATAATTTGAAATGTGCACCTACAACTACGACCGAGACTCTGAAACTCTGAAGAGGCTGCGTTCGAAAACATCATCCGTATCTCGTATCCCATATCCGTATGCACCCGAGCGTCGTTCTATCTTTGTTATTTACTAAAAGTTGGACAAAGATAGAACAACGTTCGTGTGCATACGAGTGGTGTTTTCGAACGCAGCCCAGTGTGTGGACGGACTGACGGACAGTGAACTCTATGGACATAAACATATCTAACCTATTATTAAAGTGTTATTTTTTTAATATGTTAGGAATATTTAAAAAATAAAAAAGATTTTTTGGAACATGTAAATGTCTACATTAATCAAAAAAATTTTTAGATCACATTACAAAATATAAAGGTTTTTTATAATTTACAACTTGTGTAAAACTTGCAGTTATGGTAATTATCACTTGCTAAATATTTATAAATATTAATAAATATTTTCTACATTATATAATTGTAATTTCTTTATTCAGGAACAATTAGTCACATGCAATGCACTGCAAATTGACGAGATAACATCTAGTGACAAAGATATTGCCTCATGTATGCATAAAAAATCAAGCAAAAAGTCTTTGTCTAAAAAAAGGAAAATTGATAAAAAAAAACATAAAAAACATAAGAAAAAGAGAAGAAGTTCATCTTCAAGTAGTGTGAGTATCAAAAGGTTTATAATTGATAGTTAATATTTATATGAAAATTTTTGATGTAGGAATAATACAACATATTTTGTAGGAAACTGATGACAGTGATAAATTTGAATGGGTGGAGAAAAAAGATAAAGACCAAACCTCTTCGTATAACATTGAAAATTCTGTTAATAATGAGATACAAGAAAATTCGCTTAAAAGAGATGAATGGATGAATGTGGAAAGTTTTCTTCCCTATTTATCGAAATCTGATATAAAAAAGCGAAAATTAAATACGAAAGAGGAAGACAAAACGGCGAGAGAGTATGCTATTTTGCAGATGATAATAAATATTCCTTACAAGAAATGGTAAGTAATTAAACTGATTAATACTGATTATAGAGGATTCTAACATGATATAATATAAATTTTCATTGCAGTTTCAACGAGAGAAAGGAAGATCCACAAACGAAGATGAAGGGATATTTACTAAACTCGTTGCTAAGGTAACACACTGAATAAATTTAAACTTATGAATGTTGAAACTCTTAAAATAAAATTCCCATCATATCCTTTTTGCAGAATGCAGATCATGTAGATGATATGTTCGAACAACAAATTGCACGAACAAATTCTGAAGAGAAGCAAGACAGGCGAGATCGTTCGCATGCAATTAAGGAGCACATACATTTGTCTAATTCGATGGAAAATTGTTCGTGGTGCTTAGATTCGAAGAATATGTTAAAGCACATGATAGTTACAATGGATTCCATGATTTGCTTAAGTCTGCCTGCTTATACTTCCTTGACTACTAGTCAATGTATATTGACACCTATACAACACGTAGCTTGTCAGTTGCAATTAGATGAAGATGTATGGTATAGACTCAAGGTGAGTTTTTGTTATATAATTAATTTTATTATATATAACGAATTATATATTATAATTTTTATAATAATTTTATCTGTTCTATAGCAAAATAATATCGTACGCTTTTCTTTATAGGAATTAAAAAAAAAATTGATAAAGATGTTTATGAAAGAAGATCTTTACCCGATATTTTTTGAAGTGTATAAAAAACGTCGTAAATTTTCACATATGCAATTAGAATGTATTCCACTACCAAAAGAAACTGGTGAATCAGCACCATTATACTTTAAGGTAAATACATCACTGCACACAGTATATAAAAATAAAAAAAAATTATAATTCTTAAAATGAACTATATATATTATCTCCGATTTTTTAATAGAAAGCTTTATTGGAATGCGAAACTGAATGGTCTATTAACAAGAAAATAGTTGATTTAAAAGATAAAGATATACGTCATGCTGTACCAAATGGTTTATCATATTTTATGGTAGAGTTTGCTTCACATCCTGGTTATGCTCATGTAATTGAGGATGAAGAAATGTTTCCGAAGAATTTTGCCGAGGTGAGATAATCAATAAAATTATTTCTTTCTAAAATTTTATCATTTTTAATGCAAAGATGAACTGATATGCTGTAAATATATTTTATTTTCAATATTCTATTCATATTCTAGGAAATAATAGGCGGTATGCTGGACGTGGATTGTAACCTATGGCGAAAACCAAAAAGACAGAGTTTTGATGAACAAAGAGCAAAAATGCTAAAGTTTACAGAAATATGGAAAAAATATAATTCTTCACAATCAGAAGATATTTAAGAGTAATTATACTCGAAAAAGTTTCAAATTTCGATTTATGTGAATATAGATTTAACATGATTACTTCATTTTATTAAAAAGATATAACAGAGATTATACAACACAAACATACAATATCTATATAAATATATATACAGACTTATATGTATACAGGAACATATATATACAAATATCATTTATATAAATTTTTTTCCCTCCAATATTATATAAGTATAGACCAGTATGTATACACACCCTATATATGTATACGTATTATTTATATAATTAATATAATTAGAAAAATGTAAATATCACAAAATTCTTGTAATATATGAAAGCAACTCAAGATTACATTTAATCTTGATTCTCAAATCCTGCTACTGGCCATCTCTTCAAATGATTTTTCAAAACAAAAGGAAAGAAAGACAATACTTTAAAACAATTTCCCATTTTGTCTTCGTCTGTTATCATATGATACCTTGATTCAATTTGTTGCTTCTGAACATTAGTAGCATTTTGTAAAATCATTTTTAATCGTAAATCAATACCAAGGCTTTTTAGAAATTTTCTTTGCGTTACTGGACCAAATGTAATTAATCTATTATCTTTTCCGGCAATCTCTTTCATTGATAAAAAATCAACATCAGCAGTCAGATCTGCAGTTCCAGGATTTAACAAAGGATCATGTAATTTATGTTGATAGAATGCACGAAATGTGTCAGTCTTTTCTCCCTGATGCCCATAATCAATTACTAAAGCAAAACCTCCACATTCCCATAAAAATTGAGACATATAATCTATTATTACAGAACATTGTGGACTTATCTCTACATGCTCCCTTTTCTCATTTGGCTGAAAAAGAATGTTTTTGTATTAATTTATTGTTTGCAGATTTTAAATGCTGTAACATAATATAAATAAATGCTTACAGATAGATATACTTTACAAGCAGCTGTTGGCATTCGCGAAAGTACATATCGAAATTTTTCTTGTTTAGCTTCTTGTATTATATCCACTAAGACTTCTCTCCAACCTTTGTCAGTTTTCTAAAATTAAATATAGCTTTTGTCAGAATTACTCTTTATGTATATTTTATGTATTAACATTCTGATTTGGATACCTGGAACTTGTGTATTGGCAGAGCATCAAAAAATTCCTGTGCAACAAATACACTGAACTCTCTAGGAACATCATTGATAGTGTAATACCAATATATCTTTACTCTATCTTTTGTAATACCTTCTCTGTAATGTGTAACAGAATTTTTCTGGTTTTCATTTACTCTTAGTTCACTATCTTTGCTTTCTATGCACAATTTCTTTGCTTGAATCATAGATAAAACAGGACTAACTTCCACTAAATGAACTGATATCTTATTCAAAACATTTAGTTTTTTGAATACCTGAAGAACAAGCAGTCACATAATTTTCTCACTTATTTATTTAACTTGTAAATAGCAATACTGCAAATATACCCGTAACATATCACTGATCAAAGTACCTCTTCCTGGGCCTAATTCTACAAGTTGGATAGATTCATTGCTAATCTTCCTCCATTCATTGATTATCCAGATTGCTATAATCTGTAATAATTAACATTCAATTATATATTTTTATGCAACAATTTTCTTTCTAATAAATATATATATGAAAAAAAAAGAAATTACTTAGAATTTTTACAAATATTAAAGTTATGTAATTTCTTTATATAATCATTAAAACAACATACGAAATAATAAATGAATTACATATTCATTTAGATAATAAGAATTACATACTTCTCCAAAAAGTTGACTGATTTCTGGAGAAGTTATGAAATCACCTTTTTGCCCGATTATATCTTTAGTTGTATAATAACCTGCAGTGGGATGGATCAAAATCTCCTTCATATAATCTGCGAGTGTTATGGGACCACATGCTAATATTTTTGCATACAATTGGCGATACAGATCCGATTTTTTGTCTAAATGGTTCGATGAGCATAATCTCTTCAGCAAAGTGAAATTTCCATATCGTTGTTTCGTATGTATATTCATTGTTGAAAATGTATTAACACATTTTTCAAAAGTGTGTAATAATCGCGAGAATCTCATGTTAGATATTGTATATATAATTTATTGTTGACTTCCTCTAATTCCCAGTACTGGCTGTGAATTTTGGAACACGGCCCATGGGCCCGTGTTATATGTATGAAAATAAGCGGTCGTGCTTCTGGATGCAGGGATGCACTCAATGTCACGCAATTGGTTATCGAATAGAGAATTTTTGAAGTTACGAAAATTTTTTGTTACTAGAGAGTTAGAATCACTAGAAAACAAACTCTTCTATTGGATATCAGATACCGTAAATATGTCGGATGTCGGCACAGTGTGAATCCTGCATTAGAATTCGTGCAAATGGAAGCATCCATTATATAATAATGTGTGTGTAATATATGAGCTTATATACCTTGCTTCTCAATTTCTGCGAACTGCTGCGAGATTTGTAAAAATGTCTATTAGTAAAATAATTGTGAGTATATATGCATTTGGACAATGAAATATAAACTATGCATTGTAGCATTATAAAAAACTAATTTTTTATCTATACACGCACACAATAGACTATTAAAATATATTCATATATATAATTAAAAGAATTATCACTCATAATATTGGTATATCATTACTTATTTTGCAACTATCTGTCATGAATAATTTTTCTTTCAGATACGAACTTTTTCTGCGTCGACTGTCACGCAGCAGCTCGTGAAGGTATTTAATTTTTTTAATGGATTTTTCGATTTGTATATATTTGCGTAATATTTCTAATTGATAAGTTCATAAAGTGTTCTGATAAATTTTCTGAAAACATTGATTTTTATATTGTTTCATATGTCAATGCAGCCTCCAATACAAGTTTTTGGATTAGAGGGCAGATATGCGACGGCTCTTTTCTCAGCTGCATCCAAACAGAAAGTTTTAGATGCAGTGGAAAAGGATTTGGCCACCTTTCAGGTATAACTATATAAGCAGAAAATTATATTGATCTATCAAATATATATTTATATTTTATTTTGAAAAATTAATTCCTGATTGTTTAAATTAGGGTCTTTTGAAAACAGATACCAAATTAATAGAATTTGTAAAGGATCCTTCAATAAAACGAAAGGATAAGGTGGAAGCTTTTAAGGCTATTGGAAATAAGGTTAACATAAATCCAGCTACTGCAAATCTGTTGACATTACTTGCAGAGAATGGCCGACTGGCAAAAATCAACCAAATCATCAATTTGTATAAACTGATTATGGCTGCTAACAGAGGAGAGGTGGTGTGTGAAGTTATTACTGCAAAACCACTTGATGCAGATACAACGGGTAAACTGGAATCAGCTTTAAAGGGTTTCCTGAAGAAAGGTCAAACTATCTTACTCACTGCCAAAGTAGATCCTTCAATTATTGGTGGCATGGTGGTCTCGATAGGTGACAAATATGTAGATATGAGTGTCGCTAACAAAATAAAAAAGTACACTGATCTCATCCAAGTCACAGCATAATCAAGGTCAGTTATGAAGTAATGAAATAAATTATCCTTTACTTACACAGAAACATATTTAAATGTTGTATAAATGATCAAACAGTAAATAAATGATATAATAAATTAGTGTAATTCCAATGATTATTGTTTATGTTTTATCCTGACAGGAAAATATAAATGTAATATAATACAATTTTAAATTATAATTTTATTTCAGTTGATAAAACATAGTTATTTGATACAATTACACAAAAGCGTTTTGTTACTAATTACACTAGTTTACAAGATTTTGTGCAAGAGCATTTGAACATTGTTTCTAGGATAATTTTAAACGCTAAGCGCAAATCTGTCATCAAAAAATTTCTATTACGTCACGTTTTTGAGAAAAATAGGGTTGAAACCTCCAAAAAACACGTTTTTATTTTTGAAAATTTGTAGCAGACGAACCCGATGTGTAAGAGACTTTAGAAAAGGCTCAAAAACTTGAAAATTGTACTTTAATATAAAAATATCGAATCTTTTATCGCAGATACCATCGAACCTCAGGCGCGCTTTGTTTTTAGATGTAATCGCACTGTATCAAGTAGAATGATTGTCCTATGCAGTTCAATTGCAAAACCGTTATATACAGTAAAAATTTTAATCATAGATTCAATACACAAGATTAAAAGTGCTTAATCGTACTAAAAACGTTTTTTCTTTTTCCATTTGTTAAAAAAATTATAATTTTTTACTTTTAACTGAGTAAATAATTTACTCACTTTTAATTTCTTCTACCTTCGGTAAAAGATTCGATATTTTTATATTAAAGTATAATGTTCAAGTTTTCATTTGAGCCCTGTTCCTTGCACATTGGGTTCGTTTGCTACAAATTTTCAAAAATGGTAAAAAACGCGTTTTCGGAGGTTTCAATCCCATTTTTCTCAAAAACCTGACGTGATGGGCCATTTTGCCTTGCGGATTTAGATTCAGCACCCCAATATACGTTAAAAAGAAAGTTGTTTCCATTTCCTGCACTAAAAAAAAGTGTGAAATTTGTAAACCAGTGTTATTAACACAATTTATATTTTTTTTTCATATATTACAGCATACTAATTGATATGTGGCAAAACGATTTATTTTAGAGCCATATAATGTAAATCTCTCATATTTACATACTATTTCTGCTTTGATCTCCCCCCCTCCCCAAGCACAAACAAATATATATTACAAAACTAGATATAAATGAATAATATATTCAAAGTAATAAGTAAATAATGCCAAAAGATATTGTTGAACCTTACATTTTTAAAATCATTGTTTATGTATATATATATGTTCTAAAACTTACAAATTTATAATACAAAGACGCCAATAGTAAGTGTTATACATAAATGTATACGAAATTTGTTGCATGTATTAATTTACATTTATATATTAAATCTAGATGAATAGCATATTTTTGGAATGTTTGATAACACTAGGATATTATGCAAAAATACTATTTAATTATGCAAAAAATGTATAATTATTTAATAGTTAATAAATATTATTTACTATGTTTACAATTAACTTAGATGTATATGTCAACATATAATTCGAATTGCAAACTTAGTAAATAATATTTATTATATATTTTATAAAATTGTTGATTCAAAAAAAAGATTGTATGTTCATTAATCACAAATGTATTAATAATATTAATTTTTAAGTTTAAAATATTAAGGCAACAACACTAATATTATTTTTCAATATTGATAATTTTTTTTATATGCAAAATATAATTTTGCCTGCTAGTGAAAATAATTCCAAATTATGCATTTTCCAAGATTACATGCATTATTTTGTAGTTATTTATTTTATAATAATTCATTTTATCTATATCTAATATTTGTGATATCTAAAATTATGAATTACTTGAAACAATATTTTTGTGCAGTCCAATAATTTATAAATTGACGATATTTGACAACAGCCAAAAAAGTTTAACCCTTTTACAATCAATAAGATATATATTCCATAGAAGAAAAATTGATAGTGAAAAGATTAGTAATTGCTGTTGTCATGCATATCACGTAATAATTTATTATTTTTTAACAATAGTATACTTATGTATAAGATGTGAAGCAATTCGTGCTTAAAACATCGTGATCGAAGGTATATCATCTTTGACTAAAACCCAATCTTCTTCCTCGAGAATAACAGATGTGGCACATTCCTTTGCTAAAGCTACAAACACAAGAATATTTTGTAATAGTTTATAGCCAATCATAAAAACGATAGTTGTTCTTCATTATTCTAATAATTACTTACCATTAAATTGATGTTCCAGTTCGTCTCGATCCATCGGCGGTACTTGTCGAATATCAACGAAATTATTATGAGTTGGTGGGATATCGTCCAGTTTGTTTTGTAAAAGGGTCTTTCTGCATTCTCCAAGATCTTCTAATCGCTTTAGTTCGGTGCGATAACTAACATCTTCCTCCCCCGACTCGGTTTCCGTGTGATCGCTCTGTTCTATATTCTCGTTTTCCTTGTTCGCATCCTGTTCTCCGTTCATCGCATTGGAATGTACATTACAATTGATACATGTTATAGTATTCATGTGATTAGATATATTCGAATCATCTTTGTTTATTCGGCTACTCGTCATGTACTTGGACAAGTCAAAATCGAGAACATCTGCTAACAATTTCTCCTTATCTTCTACGTCTCGTTGAATTGTTTCTAAATCTCGGTCCGACTTCAATATAAAATCATCATCGAGACTCAATTGCATTAAAGAGGAATAAGTTGTCGTTGTCTTGTTAGTATTCATATGATCAGTACCTAAACTACTTGACAAATCATCAGTGTTGTCATGTGGCGATATGACACTCTCACTTCCATTCACTACTTTAATCCGAGATTTCTTCTGTTTTCTTTCAGGCGTAAAAACAACATCCTCGAATGCCTGTTGGCCAATTTTTTGGAATATTTCCCGGCGATCATTGCTCTTGTCTTCTACATTTCTTTTATTGGTATCAATATGTTCCGGTATCTTGTTAATATCCGTTATAAGTGTAGTATTTAAATCTATTGGAACTATTGGAGGTATTTCCACAGCTTCTTCCGCATTCGCAATTACATTAGCGTCGGTACCGACAGCAACAGTCGGCAAAATGCTACAACGTAAATGCTTACTTTTAATTCATACACATTGAAAAAAAAAAAGTTAATTGTTTTAATTCTAGTAAGTGTGATGTAATATCAGACATCAGATTATCTTTTGCTTACCCTACGGATTGAATAATGTTGGTTGGATTGATTTTGGAAAAGGGAATAGTTGGTACTATATTACTTTCCTTTAATTTTGAAGTTAGTCCTAGTATACCATTGGCAACGGGTTTACTATATTCAGCGAATGATAATAAAGGATCCAGCATATTGCTTGTTTCTCCTGTGTTTCACAAAACGATTAGGATGTATTAACTTTTCATCTAATTATATCTCAGAGACACAGTAATTTTATATGCACACACGTACCAGATGTAATATTATTTTCAGGGTAATAGGCAATACGCAAAATATTTCTTTCTCCTTCCAGTATAAATATTTCGTCTTTCGTGCAAGCCACATCGGTAACATGTCGTAAATCATTTACGATCGATGTTATTGCAATAGTATTTGGATTTACTACATAGACTACATCGTCACAATATGTTACTAATAAATCATCACAAAATGGTAATACAATGCCGAACGAAGGTTCACCGCGATTCTTTCTCGAGCCTTCCGATGCAGGATTTAATAACGTCACTTCTGTATGACCTGATCTAACTGCATCCTATTTAGAATATTTTTAATAAATTATAAAGAGATTAATATATAAAAGTAGATTAATAAATATACATATTAGCTCTTAATACCTTAAATATGAGTGTTTTCAATACAGTCCCAATCTTATCAGCTTGCCATAGACGCAACCCTGGTCTACTTGCATAGATTACTGATTCTTGTACATAATTTTGTCGAGAACCAAATACCGCGCCTAGTTTACCTAATCTAAAGCATTGAAACATTATTTTAAATTGCCCCAATATTAATTCTATAGCAATCTTGAATTTACACTAACATTTTACGTTCTTTTTGGCCAACCTGTGTTACTTTCCCATTTTCATTTCTGTTGACCAAAATTGTACGTAATATAGTTGAAACTAATAACAAACCTTGTTGGTAGCTCAATTGTACCACAGAATATTTCTCATTTAATAATTTTGATATATTGAAAAAAAAAAAAAAAAAAAAAAAGAAAAAGTGTTAAGATAACCACATATTTATAGAAAGATAAGAAAATACATTCCAAAGATTTTTTTAATATTTACATACCATATAAAAATCAATCTCTGTTAAGACCACTAAACCATCTTTATCTCCACTAAATAATTTCATACCATTCTTAGACCACTCTACTGCTGTCACCGCAGTACTGTGTAAACCACTTATGCTATACCTTTCCACCTTGTAAATAATAATAACAGGTTTATCTATTATTTCTATATCTTAATATAATCAAAATATATTTTTATAATTTACCTGTTTCTTCTGTTTTGGTTTTAAACTGTCTGGCAATGAATCAGGCGGACTTTTGGGAATTTGAAAAACTGTAACAACACCATGTTCATTGCCAGCAGCGACCATATAATCGACTGTAGATATTACTTGTATGCTTGTGATTTTGGAATTTACATTCTGTTGTGATAAGAGAAAAATATTTTTATCAAACTAATTAAAGATCAATTTAAAATAGTGTCGAAAATTCTCAATTACCTCACAACGTAATCTTTGCAGATCCTGCTTTTCTCTATTGTACCAGTAAACAAGCCCATGATTAGTTCCAATGGCGATAAATTCAGTGAGGGCAGCGATGCAAGTAAAATTAATATCTTGTGTAAAAATACCATTTTGTATTTTGGCAGGTATCTGTTGTAAAAGGACAGCAAGTGGTGCCCATTCCCTTAATGGTCCACCATCCTCGCACATTGGTGTTGTCATTGTTATAACACACACTACACATTTCACAAAAATAAATTGTAAAAAGAAGTTTCACATCAAAAATTTTGAGAATGCATAAAGTTCTACATAAAAGTACAATTTTTAATATAGAGGATAAAATAGATTTTTAAAATTATATATGTATAATAATTTTATTTATATTTTTTTAAATATTAATAACATGCAAGTATCATTTGATAGATTAATTGGCAATTAAATAAATTGGAGCTTGGTCAAAGAGGCTTTGAGTTATTGCAATATAATACAGAAAATATACCTTTGCTTCAATTAAGATGTGAGAAATGTGAAGGAGAAGAGAGAATTGCAAAGTTCAATTACAATTAAGCGTTCTCTTCTATTTTTCCTTTGTAACACAGCGTGAAGTTCTCATTACAGCTTCACAATTACGATTTGTATTGCGTACATAATAGTGCATAATATTGCAAAGTGTATCTGCGCCGCAATCTATCGTTAATTAATAATTGAGAGAATACTATGCGCTCTCCATTCGAATTCTTCGCTGCTACACGGTTACGTCGATTATATATAGCAGCTATACAATTGTGTCTGTCAATCAGACTCGAAATTTTTCATATGCTTCTACGAGTTAACTTTATATTTTTCTTTTTATATAAGAGGGTACATGCCGTCAACCGAGTAGTTATTTTTCGGATTTTTTGACACTTACACTTCTTTTTTCCTTTACTTCGGTACCGATGAACTTATGTGTTATCGTATGATTTCTCTTTCCGATTATTATTTCATTTTAAAAACAAGCCTTTACTATATTATTCTGCCAATTTCTCTTAGGAAGGTCCAAACAACTTTTAGAGAAGAGTTAACCTTATATTGTAGATCACAGACAGCTGTTCATTACAAAGGGCGCGTTCCATTTAACAACCGCAACGCTCGCGAGCATCATCTGTCTTTGTTTAACTTTCGGTGAACAACAAGGATAAGATACCGTGAGCGTTGCGGTCGTTAAGTGGAACGCGCCCAAAATTGTCGATTCTTGTCATTAATAATCACGATGCATGAATATCTAGAATATCGTTCGATCCGAAAAGATCGAACACGGAAATGAAGGCAATATTGGCCTACACCGAGTTTACATCGATATACTTTACCACGTACTAAGTACTACATTGGCCAATCATAGCCATTCCTTTGAAGAATGAAATGGCTGTGATTGGTATAATATTTAGTACGTATTAAAATCTGACGGTGTAAACTAGACCATAGCTTGTCCTAACTGGAAAAAACTCACATAACAGAGTGCTTTCCACAAGAGAAAACATTGGATTGGTTTAGCAGTTGTACACAGTTATACGCAAAACTGCATACGATGGTTTCAATAATCTTATTTAGTGATTGAAAAAAAATACAAATCGATACGAGAGATTAATTATACAAGAGTTATGCGCAGCAGGTTTTGCAAAATGCGAAATCATACGGAATATTTGGTTTATCATACATTTTCATCTTTACGACGCTTTGGAAATAACTCTCGGATGTGATAGTGTGAACACAATTTTCTCCAATTTTTCCACGAATTTTCTGTCAAATGTTACGAATGCTTTAGCAATGAACTGTTATATTACTCCCGTAAGGTTTCACGAATAATTCGAAACACCTGAGGAGAGGAACCGAGGTTTCTCGTTTGCTGATTAGAGTTGCCGATCAATACTGATGAGAACTAAGGTTTCTCGGTATTAATTTGTGATCAATTCGACTTTCGACAACACCTGTCCATCTCTCTCGGCTCGTTAGAATGGAGGTAAGACTTTATTGTATTGATAAGGAAAGATTAGTTGTTCACAATCATTTATAAATAATTGATAAATAAATTTACATTGCCATATTAAAGCAAGCAGTTTGTAGATATTTAAGGTTAAAATCAAGTAATCATTTTTTAACTATTCCACAATATCTGAAGACCATTTTAAATGTCTCTTTTTTGGTTTTTATTATAAAATAATATTTTTACATTTTTGTATCTTAACTACATAATAATATTACTTTTATTTATCATTTATAGCCAGATACTAAAATTCCTTTGCCATTAGAACCTATAAAATCAAACCAAGTCGAGGATAGACGCTTATGGGTAGGCAATTTAGATTTAAGAATTAATGAGTAAGTATTTATATACATTTATAATACATATATTTCTCTTTTATAAAATTTTGGTAATATATTTTTAATGAACTTGAGATATATTTAGAGAAAAAAAATACTTTAAAGAATTGCATTATAATTTTAATAAATAAAGGATAAATTTATTCTATTTTATATTATAATACACAAATTTGAAAAGAAAAACTAACTCTCTTTTTGTCAATCGGTACCAACTCCTGAAACTTGTCCAAAAATATGGCACAATCGAAAAGTTCGACCTGCTGTTTCATCGGTCGGGGCCTCAAGCTGGTCAGCCAAGAGGATACGCATTTGTTACTTACAAAACAATCCAAGATGCCAAAACAGCAAAGGATGCTTTACATAACCTAAAAGTTGGAGCTAAGAATATTATTGTCAGATGGGCACATAGCGTTACCGAGGTACAATATATTCACATGATATATGCGCATAATTGTTCAAATATAGATTTTCTATATAAATCTCAATTATTTATAACAATACATTATATCATTTATTTCATAAAACACATTAAGCTTTTATAATTTTGAATATTTCAAAACCACACATAAAAGAACATGAAAGTAATCAATTTTTATTTTAGTTGGACATGGAGAAACCAAAGCCAAAAATAGATATTCCTGCCTTAGCTGGTGCAAAGAAAGAAGATAAAAAAATAAGGTAAAAGTTTTGTACATTTAAAAAAATAATGATTAGGAACAGTTCTCATTATTTAAAACACAATTTATGTGCAGTCTTGAAACAGCAATTCAAGCAATTGAAGCAAAACTTAAATTGATGAAAGAATCGGAGGAAGAATTTGAGTTGAATAAACCGTTGGAAGGGTCGCCAATTATCCAGTTTTATCAGAAAGCAGAAAATCAAAAACCGTCCACTTCTACACGTTATCATAGTCGTGGGAGCTATTACCATCACAACAAACCATACAGTCGTCATAAACCAAGAAGATAATTCATGTATAGTCATTTCGAATATTTTATATTCTTTCATTTATCAAATAATAAACCATTACATTTCTTTTTTCATGATATTTATATTATTTATAATAATCTAGGCATTTGTAATATTGTTTTTTAGGCATTTGTAATATTGTTTTAAAAATTTTATATTCCTTGCTATATTAAAAGATTTTATATACATTTTGTCTGTTGTGCAATGCTCATACATATATTTATAAACAATGTAATGATTCCTAAATTTCTAGAATAGGCAAATATTGATTCCTATAAACAAGCAAATATAAGAAACATTACAGCTACAAATATTTCAAGTCTTCGATAATATAATGCTTAGCATTGATGTATTTTCATAATATATGAAAATCTTTTTTATAATAAACACATGTGAGATGCTTTGTAACAAAGTATATGAGATGGGCAAATTATTTTCGCTATCCACATGTTTTTGAATAAATAATGACCATGTATACACATAAACTCTATGTATATAATACATATGTGCAATTATAAAACAATTATAACAAGAATTTTTAACATCAGACAGCTTATCTATTCTTTATTCTGTAATCTTTCTATTATAATCTTTCCACGCATATGATCTGGTAAAGGTACTATACCAGGACATGGCAATTGTCCCGGGATATGACATATACAGCTTTTTTCGCAACCTACTCCGAAATTCGCTGGATTATCCTTTTTTCCCTTCATTATAGATTCCTGTTTTAATGTCGATTTTGGTTTTCCTACTACTCTTATAAGATGCTGAAGTATCTCGTCCTTTGATTTACTATCTATATCTATTAACATTGCTTTTCCATCTTCTGCAAATTTATATTTTTTACATTGCAAAATATGTATCTTTGAATCTATATAACTATTTTCCTAATTGTTGTATTAAATATAAATCTGGTTCACAAAGTAACGAAATCACAAATCATATTACCATAGTAGCATTTTATGAATGGCGATGGTGTCATGTTTTTAAAAGTAACTATCTGCACGGTCGGATTTTTGTATTGCAGCTGTGGTAAATGCCAAAATATAAAATCTCTGTAAAAACGGAAAGATTAGAATTAGATTTTCATTAAAAATCACGAAGGGTAGATGATGTAGTATCATATTATGCATAACCTGAAACTTCACCTTGCGCCCTTATGATGATCACTATGTGTATTATAATTAATAGATAATATCTGTATCTTATTCTTTAATACCAACTGACCGGACATTAGGTATTTCAATGTTCGCCGCACGGGCTCTTTGCCTATCATAAACGGCATTTTGCGTAATTTTATTTATTGTTTATCCACATCTACATACACACCGATCAACACTGACGAATGACGGATGATGGAGGGAGATTATCCAGCTTAATGCCCAGTCTACAATGAGTCCTTAGGGCCACCGCACAAGCTCTTCCGTAAAGGCTGATTTATGTATTGTTCATAAGTGCCGGTCTACAATAGGTGATTTAAGCTCTAAGCCTTAGTGTTGGTCTACAATAGTGATTTAAGCTCTAAGCCTTAAGAAATTGACCAATCACGATCAAGTATGAGGAGAATACTCGACTGTGATTAGTCAATTTCTTAAGGCTTAGAGCTTAAATCACTATTGTAGACCGGCACTAACGGTTCCGGCATAAATTAACAGTTACGGCCTGCATAAACCAGCCTTTAGATTCGTCCGCAACCTTAAACTTCAGTCAACGCACAGAGAAAAACGTAACGTAGTATGCTTTTGTTATGTTACGATTTTCTCTGTGCGTTGACTGAAGTTTAAGATTACGTACGAGTTTAGGTTTAGGATCAGTACTTAACGTAACGTAAT